ACACACACAACACAACACCACACACACACACACACACACACACACACACACACACACACACACACACACACATACACACACACACACACACACACATACACACACACACACACACACACACACACACACACACACACACACACACACACCACACACACACACACACACACACACACCACTTCATTCTTTTAATAGCAATAATTATTTCATTGTTGCTGAGACAGTCACATCTGTGACTATTTTCAAGAATAAAGAAAATAATGATAATATTGTAGATGAATGGTTCAGGGAACCGACACGTTGATAAATTAGACATATGTGCAACTCTTGGGTATCTTTATTGAGGAAACGTTTCGCCACACAGTGGCTTCATCAGTCCATACAAAGGAGAATCTTGAAGAACAGGAGGAGAATGAGGTAATCAGTCCCTCAGCCTTGAGTCGATGTGGTCAGTCCATCAATCTTGAATAGAATACGGCATAAGTGGACTGATGAAGCCACTGTGTGGCGAAACGTTTCCTCAATAAAGATACCCAAAAGTTGCGCATGTGTCTAATTTATCAACGTGTCGGTTCTTTGAACCATTCATCTACAATCCTGTCAGACACTGCAACTTCTTGGGATCTTAATACTTGGGAATTCTTCGCTTGCCTAACACTTGGGCACGACCTACTTCCACACTGAACAAATGTGACACCACCTACAACTGCTGCACCTCTCCTGCCTACGGTATATAAGCCACTTCTCCGCTCATATGCTGTATTCTATTCAAGATTGATGGACTGACCACATCGACTCAAGGTTAAGGGACTGATTACCTCATTCTCCTGTTCTTCAAGATCCTCCTTTGTATGGACTGATGAAGCCACTGTGTGGCGAAACGTTTCCTCAATAAAGATACCCAAGAGTTGCACAAATGTCTAATTTATCAATGATAATAATAATGGCTATTAAAACAGTAATATAAATCATGATAATGATACTACTACTACTACTACTACTACTACTACTAAAAATTATAATAATAATAATAATAATATAAGTATTATTATTATTATTATTATTATTATTATTATTATTTCTATTATTGTTATTACTGTTATCAATATTATTTTATTATTATCATCATTATCACTGAAAAGTAAACAAGTACACAGTATTAACAGCAAACATAACATTAACATCAAATGTCAACAGCAGCAGTGTAGACCAGGTAGCTGGTGATGGCAGTGGTGTCAGCCACTCAAACGGGAAGTGCCACCCTTCTTCCTTGCTTGAGATGCTGTACGGCCCTTGCGTGTTTAGGGCTCCCCTGGGAATATAACAACATTAGCTCTCGTTCGTGCTTCGTGGAGAACATCTTAGAGCGGAAGCCCTGAACTCATACGAAGCGAGATACCACGAAAACAATTAGTTGAGTTAGTTGAGATGATTATACCACCCGTTTGTTATTATGGCGAAGCTCACACTTAAGCGACAGTGCTAATTCTTAAAGGCCACGCTTGAGAGACAGTGCAAGTTGTTGAAGGTCACGCTTGAGTGACAGTGCTTTGCCGTTGAAGGTCACACTTGAGAGAGAGAAGTTGTCCAGTAAAAGCCTGCCTTGCTAAGTGTTAATGTTTGACCTTAAACTCATTTTCAAGTACCTTGTTCCACTCCCTTGATATTCCAGTATTTTTGACCGGGGACCTTTCGCCCTACTTGCTTTCTTAGTCTTTTCCTCCGCGTCCCCCATCACATCGTCTTTCACTACCTTTTCCACTCCGTCTTTTCCTCACTCATGCCTTCTTTCACATGCCCCTCTCTCTTCTCTCTCTCTCCTCTCTCTCTCTCCTCTCTCTCTCTCTCTCTCTCTCTCTCTCTCTCTCTCTCTCTCTCTCACACACACACCTTCATTTATAACTTCTACATTACGCGACAGGTGTGATAGTCTCCTTTCTAAATTCTTTTCTTTACCACGACCCCTCTCTGCCTTTCATTTCCCTCTCTTTCCCTCAATTCCTCTATATTTTCGTCCATTTCTTTCATCCTTCGTCCCCTTTCTCTCTCCGTCTCTAATTCCCCTTTTTCCACCTTTAACGTGCCTTCAACACATTTCTTTGTCTCTCCTGACGCTGGACATATTACCCTGCTTCTTGCCTGCCCACCACCACTTTCCCACCCTCTGTCTCTTGCCCTCTCTCCCTCCAAACATATTAGTTTTGACCTCCCTTGCATCCTTCGCCCTATCGTGACTCCTCTCTCTCTCTCTCTCCTCCTCCACCCAGACGCGCCACCCTCAGGAAACTTGAACAGACTCTAGATGGCAGGTCGTACCCCAGGCGACTCACTCCGTTTTACTCCTCTTGTAATCCTTCTTCAAGAATGACGGTGAGCAAGTTCCTGATGGTGAACCTTGCCCTGGCCGACCTCTGCATGGGCCTCTATCTTCTCATTATAGCAGCCATGGACCTCCACACCATCGGTGTCTACTTCAACCACGCCATTGACTGGCAGAATGGTGAGTGTCATGCCTGTTATCTGATACACAATAATGTCTTGTGTATTACGAAGATGCTATTAATAATAATAATAATAATAATAATAATAATAATAATAATAATAATTATTATTATTATTATTATTATTATTATTATTATTATTATTATATGAAGAAATCTAGTCGTGTACGTCATTCAACGCAAGAAAATGTGAAAGCTTGATCCTCCATCAACAAATTGCAAGCAGAAACACTACATAGTTGTACTAACCGTCTCTCATTTGCTGGAGTGGAAGAAAGTTTTGTGGCAGTACACACGCAGGAGACCGAGATGATATTCTGGATGAGAATCCTGGTAGATATCCTGAGGCTGACTGTGTGTGTGTTTTATCTTTTTTATCTTTTGTTTTTTCCCCTCCTCCCCCCCCCCCCAACCCCTCCCAAAACTCTCCCAACCTTCTTTCCCACCAAACATCCCCCCCCCCCCCATCCCTCACCATCCTTCCCCTACCCTCCCCCCACCCTCCCCCTACCCTCCTCCCAAACCCCCCTCCCCCCCCCACCCCCCTAAATTTTCCCCCACACCTCCCCCACAAATCCCCCCACCCCCCCCCCACACCCCCCCCCCCCCCCCCTCACCCCTTCCCCCCCACCCCCCCCCACACCCCCCCCTTTCCCCCCCCCCACCACCCCACTCCCCCCCCCCCCCCTCACCCCCCACCCCCCCCCCCCTCCTCCCAACACCCCCACCCCCCCCCACCACCCCCCAACCCCCACACCCCCCACCACCCCCCCACCACCCCCCCCACCCCCCCACCACCCCCCACCCCCCCCCACCCCCCCCACCACCCCCCCCCACCCCCCCCCACCCCCCAAAACCCCCCCCCCAACCCCCCCCCCCTCCCCTCCCCCCACCCCCCCCCAACCCCCCCTCCCCCACCCCCCCACCACCCCACCTCCCCCCCCCCAAACCCCCCCAACCCCCCCACCCCCCCAACCCCCCACCACCCCCCCCCCCCTCACCCCCCCCCACCCCCCCCACCACCCCCCCCAAACCCCCCACCCCCCCCCCCAACTCCCCCCCCCCCAACCCCACCCCCCCCCCCCCCCCCACCCCCCCCCCCCAAAACCCCCCCTACACCCCCCCCACCACCCCCCCACCCCCCCACCACCCCCCCACCACCCCCCCCCACCCCCCCACCACCCTCCCCCCACTCCCCCCCCACCCCCCCCACTTCCCCCCCCCACCCCCCAAAACTTTTCCCCACACCCCCACACCCCCCCCCACCCCCCCCCCACCCCCCCCCACCACCCCCCCCACCACCCCCCCACCACCCCCCACACCCCCCCACCACCCCCCTCCCCCCCCCCCAATCCCCCCCCCCCCCTCCCCAAACCCCCCCAAATTTCCCCCCACCCCCCCCACCCCACCTTTACCCTTTTTCCCCCACCACCCCCCCACCCCTCCCCCTACCAAACCCCCCCCAACCCCCCTCAACCCCCCTTTACCTTCTCCCTAAAAATTCCCTAACCCCCCTTTTAAACCCCCCCAAAAAAATTTAAACCCCCTTCAAAAATTTCCCCCCCCCACCCTTAACTTCCCCAAAAACCTTCCCCCCCCCATTTTTCAACCCCCCTTTCCCCCCCCTCCCCCCACTTTCCCCCCACCCTTTAAAACTCCCCCCCCCCTAAATCCCCCCTTTACCACTTACTTCCCTAAAATTCCTACACTTTAAACCCCCCAACACTTTAAATTCCCCCCTTTTACCTTTTTTCAAACTCCTCCCCCCCCACTTTAACCCTTCCCAAAAACTACCTCAAACCCTATCCCCCACTTTCAAATTAAAATCTTTCAAACACCCCCTTAAAATTCCCCCCACTTTCCTCACCACTTCCCCCCCCCCATTCCCCCCACCATTCCCAAAAAATCCTTAAATTCCTTTAACTCCTCCCCCAATCCTCCCAAAAACTTTCCCCCCACCCATTCCCCCCCCACTATCCTCACCACTTTACCTTTCCCCCAACACCCTTCACCCCTTTAAACTTCCCTCACATAGGGGATAATTTCCTAAATTTTCCAGTTTTACCGAATCTTTTATCTTAAGACAATTCCCCCCCAAACCTTTTCTAGGGAACTTTCCGGGCTATTTTCCCAGCTTTTTTCCCAAAACAGATACTAAACAAAACTCAGAAGCAAATTTTTTCAGAAGCAATTTTCTCAAACTTAAAAAGGGGCCCTTTTAAAACTTCACAAGCACTTTAAAACTTCTAAGATTTATACTTCCAAAACACTTTAATACTTCAAAGACTTTAATACTTCAAAGCACTTTAATACTTCAAAGCCTTTAAACTTCCGCCTTTTTAAAACTTCAAAGGATTTTAAAACTTCAAAGCACTTTAAACCCCACAAAACTTTTAAAACTTCAGAACACTTTAATACTTCGAAGCCCTTTATTTTCAAAAGACTTTAATACTTTAAAGCACTTTAATACTTCAAAGCACTTTAAAATTTCGAAGACTTTAATACTTCAGAAGCACTTTAATACTTTAAAGCACTTTAATACTTTAAAATTTTTTAAAATCAAAGAGCTTAAAAAATTGAAGCACTTTATACCACAAGCACTTTAAAACTTCAGAACACTTTTAAAAATTCCCGAAGACTTTTAAAATTCAAAAAACTTTAAACTTCAAACACTTAATACTTCAGAAGCATTTAATACTTCAAAGCACTTTAAACTTCAGAAGATTTAATATTCAAAGCACTTTAAAACTTCAGAAAACACTTTAATACTCACAAGCACTTTAATACCCAAAACATTTAATATTCAAAGACTTTATATTCAGAAAAACCCTTTAAAAACTCAAAGCACTTTAATACTCCGAAACCATTTAATTACTTACAAAACTTTAAAATTAAAAGCACTTTAATTTCAAAGCCCAATTTAATACTTCCAAAACACTTTAATATTTTAAAAACTTTAAAACTCAGAAGCACTTTAATATTTAGAAGTACTTTAAACTTTAAAAGCACTTTAATATTCACAAGCATTAATACTTCAAAAGACTTTAAAACTTACAAGCACTTTAAACTTCAGAAGCATTTAATATTTAAAAGCACTTTAATACTTCAAAACCTTTTAATATCACAAGCACTTTTAAAACTAAAGCATTTCATACTTCAGAAACACTTTTAATATTCAGAAAAATTTAATCTTTCCAAGCACTTTTAAACCCGAAACATTTAATATTCAAAAACTTTAAAACTTCACAAGCCTTTAATACTTCGAAACAATTTAATACTTCCAAGCACTTTTTAATTTCCCAAACACTTTAAACTTAGAAGGGATTTTAAAACTTCACAACTTTAAATTAAAGCACTTTAAACTTAAAGCACTTTAATACTTCAAAAACACTTTAAAATTCAGAGCCCTTTAATATTTAAGACTTTAATACTTTAGAACACTTTAATATTACAAACACTTTAATCTCACAAACACTTTAATACTTCAAAGCCTTTAAAAATTTTCAAGACTTTAAAATTTCCAAGCCTTTAAAAACCCTTTAAACCTTTTAATACTTCAGAAGCACTTTAAAACTTCCAAGCACTTAATACTTCAAAGCATTTAAAAATTCAAAGCACTTAAACCTCACAAAAACTTTAATATTCAGGCACTTTAAACTTCAGAGCATTTAATACTTTTAGAAGCATTTAATACTTCAAAAACACTTTTTAAAAACCAAGCATTTAAACTAAACATTTAATACTTCAAAGCACTTTAATACTTCAGAAAAACCCCCCTTTAATACTACAAGCACTTTAATATCCCAAAACATTTAAACTTCACAAGCCCCCTTTTAAAACTTACAAGCCAAAATTTTTAAAAATTTGAAGCATTTAATACTTCAAAGACTTTAAACTTTTACGACTTTAATATCAAAGCACTTTAAACTTCAAAGTATTTTTAAACTTCAAAAGCCTTTTAATACTTCACAAGCACTTAAACTTAAAAGCACTTTAATACTTTACAAGCACATAAAACTTCAAAAACATTTAATACTTCAAAGCACTTTTAAAACTTCAAAAATTTAATACTTCAACACTTTAAACTTCAAAACCTTTAATACTACAAGCATTTAAAACTCCCAAAGCATTTAATACTTCAAAGCACTTTTTAAAACTTCAAAACCTTTAATACCCCAAGCATTTATACTCCAGAAGCTTTATACTTCACAAGCACTTTAATACTTCACAAGCACTTTTAAAACTTCAAAACAATTAATACTTTACAAGCACTTTAAACTTCAAAGCATTTTAAAATTCAAAGCATTTTAAAACTTCCAAGCACTTTAAAATTTACAAAAAACTTAAAACTTCAAAGCCCTTTTTTACTTTACAAGCCTTTTTTATTCAAAGCACTTTAATACTTTTAGAAGCATTTAATACTTCAAAGCACTTTAATCTTCAAAGCCTTTAATATTCAAGCACTTTAAAACTTCAGAAGACTTTAATACTTAACAAGCCTTTAAATTCACAAGCACTTTAAAATTCCAAGCACTTTAATACTTACAAGCATTTAAACTTCACAAGCCTTTAATACTTCAAAGCACTTTTAAAACTTTCCAAGCATTTATCTTCACAACATTTTTACTTCACAAGCCCCTTTTAAAATTTAAAAAATATTTTAAAATTACAAGCCTTTAATACTTCAGAAGCCTTTAATATTCACAACACTTTAATATTCAAAGCACTTTAATACTTCAAGCACTTTAATACCCGAAAACTTTATTTTCTTCACAAGCCTTTAATATTCAAAGCACTTTAATACTTCACAAGCCTTTAATATTCAAAAGTTTAAAAAAAGACTTTAAAACCAGAAGCACTTTATACTTCAAAACACTTTAATACTTCAAAGCACTTTAATACTTCACAAGCACTTTAATATTCCAAGCATTTTAATTTACCAAGCATTAAAACCAGAAGCACTTTAATTCTTTAAAGCACTTTTTAAAATTCACCCCAA